GACTGCTAACCAGAAGGCTGGCAGTTCAAACCCACCAGCCACTCCTTGGAAGGAAGGTTGGGCAATCCTACTTCTGTAGTGATACTGCCTCGGAAATCCAAGGAGGGGTCGCTATGAGATGGGGCTGACTCGACGACAAATAACAACAACAACAACAACAGTCCAAAGGACTAAGATACCACATGAACCCCAGACTCCATGACCCTAAGACTAGAAGTAGATTGTGCACAGCTACCACGGCTGCCTGTTCTGAAAGGGATCACAATGGGAGGCCCTGCATACAGTGGGAGAAAAAATGTGGAACAAAACTCAAAATCATAAAAAAAAAAAAAGACCAAGCTTACTAGTCCGATAGAGACTGGTGTGACCCCCAAGACTATGTATGGCCCTAGACACTTTTTAAATTTAGAACTGAACTCACCTCCGTGGGTCAACTTTCAGCCAAATGATAGACAGATCTATAAGATGAACAGTAACACCAGGGAGGTACACACACTCATTAGAACAATCAACCATGTGATATCAACAGGGCAGCAATTGCCCAGGAATAAAGCTCAGAATGCAGGAAGGGATAGAAAGAAAGAGGAAGGAAAATGGTAAACACAGGAAAGAAGTGAGAAGAGTGCTCTTATGTTCTGGGACTGTAACTATTGTCACAAAGGAAAATATTGAATGAATTATTGAATGGAAAACCAATTTGCTCTGTAAACTTTCACCCAAATCACAATATAAATAAACAGATTTGGTTGCTATGCAACACTTAGGTTGCCATGACTGAATTGTTGGAAGACCTAGATAGATCTCATCTCTATTTGTTTTACGATTCTTTTAAAGAAGCTCTTAGTCTTATTTCTATACTGGAACTGATTCTAGTCCTCTTAAAATCTGCACAGTTACAGATGATAAAAAATGAACTACCCAGAAGACAATTGTGTTGTTTCAATTTCTTTAGTTGTAAGTATAACTTAACCAGCAAATATAGTCTCAATAATTGTTTAGAGTTTCATACAGATATATATTTCTTCCTGTAAAAAACTGGAATGATTTTTCTCCTCACTTTAAACAATTATCTGTGAAAACATGGTAATAATGCCAATTTCACAGATGTTGTGGTATTGATTCTAAGCTGTTACTTAGTAAGTCCAAGGGAATTTTCCTTTTTAAAAATTACCTATATATATTTTTTCAATTCTGCCAACCTCAATTTTAATAAATTAAGCTATTTTGAATAAGGTTATAGATGTTGTAATTTAAAAAGATCCCTTTGCCACATCCCTACCAGCCTCGGTACCTGCTTTATAAAGGCAGCCACTGTAAACCTTTAGTGGTTTCTTCTTTTTGCATCAGTATTTCTCAATGGCATATTATGTAGTTATTTCTCCTTTTTTTTTCTTTCTTGGTCTTTATCAGTTGACTCATTACTATGGAAGGAGCTCTGGTGGTGTAGTGGGTAAGGCATTTGGCTGCTAACCAGAAGGCTGGTGGTTCAAACTCCCCAGCTGCTCCACAGGAGAAGGTGAGGCAATCAACTTCCATAAAGATTTGTAGCCTTGGAAACCCAATGGGAGTCGCTGTGAGTGGAAATCAACTTGATGGTGGTGGATTCCGGTTTTGTTATTACTATGGACAATGAGGATTTGGCTCTCTTAGAGTTCTCTCCCCTACACACACATATATGCCTTCACCAAAACCAAAACCAAACTCACTACCAATGAGTCAATTCCAACTAACAGCGACCCCTATTGGGCTTCCAAGGCTATAAATCTTTACAGAAGCAGACAGCCCCATCTTTCTTCCAAGGAACAACTGGTAGGTTTGAACCACTGACCTTTTGGTTAGCAGGAAAATGCCTTAGCACTTAGCACACCACCAGAGCTCCTTATATGCCTTCATAGCCTACGAATAATTTATCAGGTTTTTTTTTTTTTTTTTCTCTCTTTCTTTCTTTTGAACAGTCTTCTGGATTCTCTGTCCTCTGTTTCAGTCTGGACAGGCTACTCCCCAAATCTGTACAACTGTTATCCATCCCTTCAATACCATTCTGTGAAGGGTCTTCTCTTCTTGGATCCTCAGTTGCCTTAGTCCCACATCCTCCTCTTCAGTCTACCTTCTTGTTTTAGAGTGTCACATCATCCCATAGGTTGCAAGGCTATGCAATTTGGAGGACTTCGCATGTCTGAATGTATTTTTTATTCAACCCATTTTTAGTTGGTCATTTGACCAGGTAGAGATTTCTAGGTTTGAGATCATATCTCCTCAATTTTGAAAGTATTGCTCCCTCATAGACTAGCATTCATTGCTGCTATTGAAGAACGTGATGCCCTCTGATTCTAGCTCTTTCACCTGCCACGTGTTTTTCCTGTGGGTGCTTATAAGATCTTTCTTTATCCCAGGTGTTTTGAACTTTCATGTTACACAGGAACTTTTGTTCTTCATTATTTGGCAAGTTATTTAATTGAAGGTGGTAGATTCATATGTCATTTAACATTTATTTATCTAGTCCTATTTTGTGCCAGGTACTATACTAGGTGAGTCAAAGAAAGATCCCTGTCTTCTAGAAGCTTACTTTCTAAAGGTGAAAAACAATGAAGACAATGAAACAATAAATATAATAAGTCAGTGATAAAGTGTGCATATTACAGTTGGTAAAGTGCTATGGAAATGTGGAAAAGTAAAGGAGGGTAAGGGCGTCAGGGTACAGTATGTCAGGTGAGAGGTTGCCATGTGCAGTAGGATGGTCAGCGGAGGTCTCGTTGGGAAGGAAAACTGAGCAAAGACTTGAGGCCATCTGTGTCTGCGGGGAGAGCATTTCAGAAAAGAAACAGCTAGAGCAAGAGCTGTAAGGCTGGAGCTCACTGAGCCTGTTGGAGGAAGCGCAAGGAGGCCAGTGTGGTTAAAGAGGAATGAGCAAGGGCATGAGTGGAAAGGATGAGGTTATGGAGGGGACCTGGAGGGTGGAGATCTTTGAGGCCATTTTAAAGACTTTGGCTTTTACTCTGGGTAAAGTGGGAGGCTTTGTGGAAGCCCTTGGAGGCTTTTGAGGTGAGGAGTGACACGACCTGCCATATCTTTTAAAAGGACCACTCACCTCTAGCCATACTCTTTAAATTACTGATGGGGTTGTACAACTTCAATTTATATTGTGTGTACAATTTTGCAAGTTGTTTTCTTTATTGACTAAAGCTAGAATGTCTTATTTTCTTTTTATTGTAAAATATATGCATGTTTGTTCCACTAGCATCTGTCAGTTTGTTGTAGTGTGGTGGCTTGTGTGTTGCTGTGATGCTGGAAACTATGCCACTAGTATTTCAAATACCAACAGAGTCACCCATGGTGGATAAGTTTCAGCAAAAATTCCAGACTAAGACAGTCTAAGAAGAAAGTCGTGGCAATGTACTTCAAAAAATTAGCCAATGAAAACCTGATGGAACACAACAGAATATTGTCCAATACAGATGGGAGATGAGCACCCTAGGTTGAAAGGCAACAATGGGCTCAAGCATCCTGGCGATCATGAGAACGACTCAGGACTGGGCAACATTTCATTCTGTTGCACATGGGGTCACCATGAATCAGAGGCAACTCAATGGCAACTAATAGCAAACAACAATAATGCATATTGGTTATAAATTCAGTCAAACTTAGGATCAAAAGGGAAAGTCCTTCTATAGCTTCTTTACCTTTTCTTTTCCAGCCTCACCTGAACCACAAGTCACTTTCTAGTGGCAGGGTTATTGTCCTTTTAGTGTGTGTGTCTGAACATTTATTTATACATTTACAAATGTATGTATATAGACACATATTTTTTAACGTGATAGGATCCAATTATACATACTGTTTAGTAACTTACTTTGTTTTATGTAACTATGCAACAAATTGGAAAAAAAAAAAAAGAGTTATGAGAGCAGAAAAAATGATGGTAATGAGTGCAAACAACTCTGTCCAAAAGCATAGCTGGGGACAGAAGCAGAAAAATAGTGGGAGAGACAGTGGGAGATATATGGCCTAGGGAGGTGTTTTGGTTTTTCTTATGGACGGCACATAGGCCAATTTGAATGCTGATGGAAATAATGCAGGAATCAGAGATGTTAGAAATGTTATAGCTGATGGGATGAAGTCACAGAGAAGAAAAGAAGATGAACTCAAGAGTGCAAGTGGAAAGGAAAGACATGTAAATAAATGGAACAGAGCTGAGAGTCTAGAAGTGGACAAATTTATGGTCAATTGATTTTCTACAAGAGTGCCAAGACAATTCAATGGGGGGGAGAAATTGTCTTTTCAACAAATGCTGCTGGGACAACTGAATATCTGCATGTAAAAGGATGAAGTCGGATCGCTATCTCATACTGTATACAAAAATGAACTCAAAATGGATCACAGACCTAAATATAAGAGCTAAACTACGAAACTCTTAGTAGGAAATATAAGAGTAAATGTTCATGATCTTGGATTAGGCAAGTGTTTCTTAGATACCACACCAAAAGTACAAGTGGTAAAAGAAAAAAATAGAGAAATTGGATTTCATCAAAACTAGAAACTTTTGTGCCTCAAAAAACACCATTAAGAAAGTAAAAAATAATCCAGAGAATAAAAAACAAGACAAAACAACTTACTGCCATTGAGTCAGATCTGACTCATAGTGACCCCTCCTTGGGTTTCCGAAGTGGTATCGCTACAGAAGTAGACTGTCCAATCATCCTTCTGAGGAGTGGCTGGTGGATTTGAACCGCCAGCCTTCTGGTTAGCAGTCAAATGCCTTAGGCACTATGCCACCCAGAGAATGGGAGAAAATATTTGCAACTAATATATCTAATAAGGTACTTATATTCAGAATAAATAAAGAACTCTTACAATTCAACAATGAAAAGACAACCCAATTTTAAAAATGGGCAAAGATTGGAATAGACATTTCACTAACAAAGAAATATAAATGGCTAATAAGCACTTGACTGCTAACCAGTGGCAATGGGGGAAAGTTCCAAATATTCCAAACTACTCCCCAAAGCCCATCCCACCACAATCTCCTTGCCCATTTCAGAGATTGGTGTGGGCACCACCGGCTTTGGCATCTTCTTCATCCTCTTTGGAATACTCCTATATTTTGATTCCGTGCTCCTGGCCTTCGGAAACGTGAGTTCCCCAGCCTTGCATATCTCCCCTCCCCAAACCTTCCTGAGATCTCTATTGCTAGGAGTGTCAGCCCCAAATCAATTCAGGTTGTGTCCATCCTGGAATCAGGTACCATCAAGTCCAGTCAGGTGAGTGTTGCTGGGGAGGGACAGCAGAGCCTCCTGGTCATGGAGAATCTAAAGACATGGATTTTCATGCCAAGCTCTGGGTGATATCCTGGGCAGAAGTGGGGGAGTAGTTGGGGTGAGTGTACTAGGATGCGACATTGTCCCAGCCATCCAATTCCCATGGTTTAGTGATAGGGATGTAACACGTACATGCAGGACTGGAAAGGTGAGGAGGGACAGTGGTAAGACCAGAATAAGATAAACCCATTTAATATGGGATAAAGTGCTTAGAGGGAAGGGAATATACTCAACTGGAGAAGGATGAACAGGAATTAAAGAAGGAAAATGGGTGGGTAAAGCAATTCCAAGTGATGGAATAGCAAGAGAAAAAGTATGGTGAAGACGAGGCAAAACATGAGGCACGCTGGAAGAAAAGCAGAGAGTTCATTGGATGAGTTGCTATAACCAGTCTTAGGAGCTCTGGTGGCATAGTGCCTAAGGTATTTGACTGCTACCAAGAAGGCTGACGGTTCAAACCCCCCAGCCACTCCTCAGAAGGAAGATTGGACAATCTACTTCTGTGGAGATACCACATTGGAAACCCAAGG